ATCTCTGGTTTTGAGGCCAGCTTGGTCTACAGAGCAAGTTCCAGGACAGTCAAGGCTACACAGAGAAAACTTGTCTCTTAAAAAAAAAAAAAAGTCTTTATATTTCCCTTGCAGATGGCAGATTAGAGACTTGAGTTGGGAGGATTTCCTAAGTGCAGAATAGTTTGTTTTACGTTGGTAGGTCTATTGGTCTGCACAGGCAGCCAGGAAGAAATACAGATTGGTAGTGAGAAGAGCAGACATTGCCTTTTAGCCTTGGAAGCTGTGCTCAGGGACCAGCATGATCATTCTGGAGAAGACTTCCTAGCTTGGTGGCAGCTGTCCTGCTGGGTTCACTTGCCCTTTATTTTGTGTGCTTGCAGTAGCAGAGCCCTGCCTTTCTGATCTCACATAACCTTAGTGTCCTCCTTAAAAACGTCATCTCCAAGTACTTTTCTGCGTGGTATGTTACAAGGAGGCTAAGGACTACATGGATTTGGGGAACAGGGACCTCATGCAGTCCCTAGCATTGGGCTTGCAGAAAGAAAACCACTCAGTCTAACATCTTAAAAATACGAACTAAAACATGGGCAATCACAGAACAAAGGGTTCTTTAATGGTGCACCAATTTTGACGTTGTGACTTACAAATAAATACCATGTACCAAAGGTGTGTTTAAACATTAAAAGTTCCTTTTTATGGAAAGAGAAGCACTCTTAACAACATACTTGAACTAACACTAGCAAGTACTGTTATGAGAGTTAGGATCATGGAGAGAAAGTGGTCCACAAATGCTGTGATTACGTCGAAAATAAATGTAGATAACAGGAAATTAAGGAATATCCAACTGTCAAGTTCTAAACAACATCAAAGAAAAATTAATTTTGAAAAAGTGTTAGAATATCAGAATATAAAGTCTTTGAAGAATGATCTCTGAGGAGCCTTATAAAGCCTTATTGAAACACATTAAAAGACACTGGTACAACATGTTTATTGGAAACATTGTCATCGTTATAGTTGGAAAGAAATTTAAATCAATTTTTAGAAATCCTTTGGGGGACACACAACAAGCTGATTTTGAAGATGCTTTGACAAGCAAGTGCCCAAGAATAACTTCTTGGAGAATGAGCTAGAGGCCATGCTCTGCTGGTTAAGGTTTGTGTGCGTGTGTCTGTGTGTGTGCACACCTGCGTGTGTGTGTGTGTACTGTGAGAAAGTATACTGTTGATGTGGATACAAAGCAAAAGTAATGACACATAATAGAGTCCAGAAATTGATCATGCTTATGTGGAGATAATAGCCAATAAAAGTAGTATGTGGCATAGATTATTCAACATATGATGCCAGGAAAATTTGTTACTCATTTGGGGGTAGGGAGAAAAATTGATTCTTTATGCAAAGTTAATTTTTGACTATTGAGACTTATTTGCAAAATTCAAAACTTGACAATGTTTTCACGAGTTGAGGTTAAGTAATTTTTAATAAATGAGCAGATTTTATGACCAGTAACACTGAACTTAAACCTTCCAGTGTGCTAGAATTATGGCATTTCCTTGTTTCGTCTGTTCTCGGAGAAATAAGACCTCTTACGTTTTGGGTAGTTAGTTCTATGCTTCCCTTAGCTACTATTCATCTTTCTTTTCTGGATGGTTCCCAGCACCACTTTTCTGTTGTTCCTTTTTTTTTTAATGTGATAAAATTCCCTGATAAAAATATCTTATGGGAGAAAGGGTTTATTTGGGCCTTATAGTTCCAGAGGGTGCAGCAGGCCAGCCCATCCTATTGTATGGGAATCGGAGAACAAAAAGTGGTACTGGAATCAAATCCCAATCACCTCTGGTGACAGTAATGCACTTCCCTCTTGCTAGGTTCCACCTCCTAAGGTTTCCATAACCTTCCCAAACAATGCCACCAGCTGGGGACCTTGTTTTCAAACATATGAGCTGATCAGAGATGTTTTGCATTCAAATCACAATGCACACTCCCTCCGAAATTGAGCCTCAGTCCTCCATATTCTTTGCGACTAAGATGCCTTCCTTGTCCATGTGACACCAGCCACTATTTGCATTTTAACTAGGAACTGGTTTGTTAAGATCATAGAAATGACATTGTGCACCATCTGTGAAGAGGACCAGAGCAGCTCCACAAAGCTGTAAGACAGACTAAATCATGCAGTGAAGTAACAGGAGGAGGTAGATCTCAGAAAAAAACTTAAAACTGACAAGGAGATGAGATCCATGAACAGAAGCAGGAGCAGGTTGACCTAAGTTCTGATATGTTGGGATTCACTGAAGGGGTGTTCCTGGTTCTGATTGTCACTGAGTTTCTTCTTGGAAATCTGGTGAATGGTTTCATTGGGCTGGTCAATGGCAGCCACTGGCTTAAGAGCAAGAAAATGTCTTTGTCTGACTTCATCATCACCAGCTTGGCCCTCTTCAGAATCATTCTGCTATGGATCATCTTTATTGATGGCCTTATAATAGCGTTCTTTTACCATACCCATGACTCAGGGATAGTGATGCAACTTATTGATGTTTCGTGGACATTTACAAACCACTTCAGTCTTTGGCTCTTCTCCTGTCTTGGTGTTTTCTACTGCTTGAAAATAGCCAATTTCTCTCACCCCACATTCCTCTGGCTCAAATGGAGAGCTTCCAGGGTGGTTGTTGGGATGTTGTGGGGTTCACTGCTCTTATCCTGTGTCTGTACCATTTCTCTGACTAATGAATTTAAAATCTATTCTGTCCTCAGTGGACACAGAGGCACATCCAATATGACAGAATACTACAGACTGAAAACAAATGAATATGATCTGATGCATATCCTTGTAAATCTGTGGAAGCTTCCTCCCTTAATTGTCTCCCTGGCTGCTTACTTTCTGCTCCTCCTTTCTCTGGGGAAGCACACACAGCAGATGCAGCAATACAGTATTGGTTCCAGAGATCAGAGTACTGAGGCTCACAAACGAGCCATCAGAATCATCTTCTCCTTCCTCTTACTCTTCCTAGGCTACCTTCTTTGCTTTCTAATTTTGTCATTCAGTCGTTTCCTACCAGCACCTAAGATTGCCAGGATAATTGGTTTAGTAATTACAATGTCATACCTTGTCGGGGACTCATTTATTCTCATTCTGTACAACAACAAGCTGAAGCAGACATTTGTGGTGATGCTTTCACGTCTGTGCTCACTTGAAGCCTGGATCTAATGGACTCTTGGTGTCATAGAATAGCAGAGGGCGTAGGATGGGGCCTGGGGATTCTTCAGCCAAGTTCAACACTTCTGACTCTTCCATTTATCAGTCCATACCATCAATAGGAGAGGTGTTGCCTGCTTTGCCCCTGATTCTACCTGTCTTAGAGATAAAAGCCATGCTTCTGAAGACCTCTCTCCACAGGACTGTTTGGACAGGTGCAACAGTCTTTGGGAATTGCTAATGTTTAGAACATTCACTATGCAGACATGGAGATGTATTTTACTAACCATTAACTTAAACATAGCCATCTGTATATTAGTTTTACCTTAACTTTTATGTGTATGTAAATGAAGACCTGCTGCGGACTTGAGACGAAGAGCAAAAGCATTTGCTTTTCACAGATAAGGGCTTGATTTCTGTTCTGTCAATTTCTCATTTTTGTGCTTGGATGAATTATTTTTGTGCTTTTCCCCTACCCTAAAATATGGATGATAACATCATGCACCGAGTAGTAGAAATTCTTGAGACACAATGTGTTTTGCAAAGTGCTGGATGAAGTGAAGGCTGCCATCATGTCTAACAATGAATTATGCAGCAAGATCAATCCTTTTAAGATAACACTTTCCACAAGCTTCGTGTGATGCTGTAAACAATAGCACGAAAACCAAGACCCTTGGATTCCAGGTTCCGGTCCATTCTTGTGTTTCATTGACATTTTACTGAAGTTAATTCCAAATATTTTTTTTTGTTTTTTTTTTTTTTTTGACTGTGTAAAAGGACAAATGTTTTTGTTCTTCCTCTTTTTCCTCCTCTTCTCTCTTCTTCCTATGCTTGTTCCTTCCAAGATGCACATATGCTTTTAAAATTTATAGGATATATATGTATATATACTTTGATGTTTAATATTACTTAAAGAGAAGAATAGACATTTATTTATTGCCACGAAATCAGTGAGAATATTGTTCAGTATCATGAAAAATTCTTTAAGTTTGTGAACATAATCAGTTAGGATACATGGCATTCCTGAATGTGGGTTTCTAACCTACATTGCTTCAACAGTTACCCTGGATTTTACATCAGAGTACTTTGATGCCTGTGGGGCCATAATGTAGCTACATAGACATAAGTATAGATCCAGATTTATGAAGGAAAATAGGAAAGAGCGGATCTTTTTCCTAGGTGAACCCCAGAACAGATTATGGCACAGTTTCTCTCTCTCTGCTTTGCCCCTTTCCTCAACTTGTCTTACAAAAAGTTTGTCTCAAGGAAGGGGATGGATTCAGTAAGTCACCTCAGACGTGGGGGGACGAAGAGCGGCAGTGGCATGGTCAGAATGCAGCCAGAGAAAATGGCTGCAGTTTCAACATACGGGGACACACACACTGGTTCAGACAGGCCGTGAGGGAAGGGAGATGGGAAGCGCGCGGCATGAGAAATCCCACAACGTTGTGTGGTTTCTATGAAGTAAAGCTGTTGAGAGACTTCAATAGTCTTGGGCCAGAGCACTCTGGTCCGGGTTTGAAATTCTTGGAGTGTGATGCAGCTCCCTCTAGTCTTTCTGCTCTTAGAGGAACAGATTCCAGATTCACTTCAGCGTGCTTGTAATTAGGCATTTCTAAGAAAATAAGACGAGGAGTGAAGAAATAGTAATTTAATCCTTGAAAGATTTGCATCCCAGTAAAAGCAGCTGCCTCTTAGACCAGAAAGGGCTCATTTGCTGCGGTGGATAAGAAAAAAGGAGCCCTGCAGGCTGACCACTGTGCCTACCTCACCACATTTCAGTTTGTTCTCATCGGCACCGCAAACACTGAGGCTTCAGTGAGTAGAGATGGTGTGGAAGCTGTTCTTATTTATGTATGTGGCCACGCTTATTTTTAATTTTGTAGGAATCACTGCAAATCTCTTTATTATAGTGGTCATTTATAAGACATGGATCAAAAGCCACAGAATCTCCTCTTCGGACAGGATTTTGTTCAGTTTGGCCATCACTAGATTCTTGACTCTGGGCTTGTTTCTACTGAACATTTTCTACTTTACTGCAAATGCTCTAAGGTCAGTCTACTTTTCCACGTTTTTTCTAGTATGTTGGAAGTTTCTGGACTCCAACAGTCTCTGGCTAGTGACCTTGCTGAACAGTTTGTATTGCGTGAAAATTACGAATTTCCAGCACCCAGTGTTTATTCTGTTGAAACGGACAATCTCTGCAAAGACCTCCAGTCTGCTGCTGGCCTGCCTTCTCATTTCTGCCTTCACCACTCTCCTGTATCTCGTGCTCACACAGATGTCACATTTCCCTGGACACATAACGGGGAGAAATGACACATTATTTGACCTCAGTGAGGGCATCTTCACCCTAGCAGCCTCTTTGATCTTGAGCTCGCTGTTACAGTTTGTGCTCAACGTGACGTTTGCTTCCTTGTTAATACACTCCCTGAGAAGGCATATACAGACGATGAAGAGAAACACTACCAGCTTTTGGAATCCCCAGGTGGAGGCTCACATGGGTGCCATGCGGCTGATGATCTGCTTCCTCCTGCTCTACATTCCATATTCAGTGGCTACCCTGATCTATTTTCCTTCCCATGCAAGGAAGAGTCTGAGACTCCACGGTGTTAGCATGATCATTACTGCGGCTTACCCTCCGGGACATTCTGTCCTCCTCATTGTCACACATCAGAAACTGAGAGCTAAGGCAAAGAAGATTTTCTGTTTCTACAAACAGTGCAGTTTCATTAGGAAAGCTTGACAGCATCTCTTCCTGGTTTAGTTGCAAGGGTTAGAAATTTCCCAGTGATCTAAGGACTTGATTTTGTAATCTTATATCTGGCATCCTGACCCTGATGCTGAGGGCCTGTGTTTTAGTCAATACTGTGTCTTTTGGTTAATATTTTGAAGTAAAGCACATTCCTTAAGGAATTGTATGAGACATTCGTGTATTTTGCGTGGTCATTACATTCCTAGGCAATGGGGAATTGTCATCCTGTCCTACTGGCTGCTGAAGTATCGGGGGGGGGTTGTCCCTGAATGAAGGCCACATTGTGATGCACATGGTGAGCATAAATTAGAGAATTTAACCAAGGATGCCCGAACAAGATACCACTCATAGCTAAGCTGTCACTGACAGAAGATTGGCTGGAAGTGTAACAAGGCGGCACAAAAGGAAAAGAGGGAGGGGTCTCAGAGAAAACGAGAACAGTGAAAGGAAATTGGTGTGCACATTTGTGGGGCACAACAGATAAAGGTCCTGATGTTTGTTGAGCTGTGACTATCAAGAAAGTCTACCACCGGGTTTCTAGGCTTGATCCAGAAAGGGTCCAAGTTGATTTAGCCCCTGATAGTAAACTATTCAATTAAAATGGTTGAAACTCCAAGACTCTATCTTGACTTCTAGAGATATAGCCCTGGGGAAAAAGCAAGCTCTATACAAACAGTGAGAGTAACCCTCCCTGAGTGAAAATTTACAGAGCCCAGCACCCGCCTTCTGTGCTACAGGGTTCGTCTGGCAGGCCAAGAGCATCCAGCTGCTGGCGGAGTGCTGAGCTGGGTGGCCTTTCTATGGGTTTCTACACTGCTCAGTTGTCTAGGAGAATGCTGTTTGAGGGAGCTGATGATGGGTATTGACAAGCTATCAAGTGGGGACTGAGCATTCATCACTTACGATATACAGTTAGAATCAAATGCTTATATAATATGTATACATCTCAAAAATAAATAAACTTTCAAAATGTATAAATCTCCTGACTTTTCCTCTTCCTACCCACTCCAGTCTTCACTGTAATATTTAGTAAATATTACCCAACCAGGATTAGTGGTATAAAACCTGGAGGTATTAGTCATGTTAATAGATTAAAAGAGATGCTGATAAATGAAGTGATAAATGAAATCTGTGCCATAAGAACTCAAAATGAGTGGCAGACCCCTTCATTAGTCCTTTAGTGTTTATCCCTTCTCCTCCTTTTCTTAGTAATCAAATTACGAGCTGTCTAGAACTTATAATTTTTTTCTCTAAGCTGGTGCTGTGTTGTGGTTCGAGTGTCAAGAAAGGCAATGTGTGTAATTCCTAGGTGTGCTTCCGGATTAGCAATTGCCTTTCTTCTCATTTGCCTCTTCTGTTTGATTTTGTGTTTGCCCATAGGCTGGAAGGTTTGCCTATTCTAAACAATGCGTCTGAGCAGAACACTTGGTGATGATGGAGTTATCTGTCTTGAATTGGTGGCATGGTTCATGACATAGGAGTGTTGCTATACCATCTCTGAAGTGTGTGCCTACATTCCGGAATGGACCATGAGAAACAAACATCTCCATTAACAGGAGTTTGTTTAATTCTGTAAATTTGATGAAGTAACTTACACTGTAGCATGCTTTCACACAATAGCATGTCTTCATGTCTTTATGATGAAATAGAATGTAATTACTTGTAATAGTCTAATCAAAACACATATTGTTTGTTAAGTAAAACCAAAAGAACATATATGCGCTATGTCAGTTTTTTAAAAGTATGTACATCTGAAGAAAAGTCTAAAAGACATATACATGCACACAGCAATTATTTTCATATTGAAAATTGATTTTCTTTCTTTTTTACTGCTAGGCATGTTTTGCTATGGTGACCTGTGACCTGTGACTCTTTCTACCCTCACTTCTGCAATGATCTCTGAATCTTGGCAATGGGGTATGATGTGGAGGTTCCGTTTGTGACTGGGTACTCTCCGAACTTTGGCCAGTCATAAATGTGTTAACCATGCCTACTTCACAAAGAAACTTCTTTGATGTGATCTGAGAGCTGTTCTACAGATAGAGATTTAGAAGGCAGTTTGATACAATGTCTGTTTAGCAAAATAATAGGAATAGGTTCATTCCAGGGGTCCCTGCCTCAACCATGGATTCTTGGCCAGGTTTGAAGTATTAGACATGTGCTTTCTACAGTGGAGTGGGTCTTACATCCTGTGAGAAAGTGGTTGACTACATCCATGACATTCTTGTCATTACTGCATTTATGGGCATAGCTTGCCACACTGGTCATTATTACATTTTACATGGTTCAGAGCTGGGTAAAACTGTTCATGATCCCCCACAATACCAGAAGCCTTTCTAACACCTTCCAATACTAAAAGAATATTTTAGTTAGGGTTTCTATTGCTGTGCAGAGCCACCATGACCATGGCAAGTCTTATAAAGGGAAACATTTAATTGGGGCTGGCTCACAGCTTCAGAGCTTTAGTCCATTATCTTCATGATGGGAAATATGGTGGCATGCAGGTAGACATGGTGCTGGAGAAGGAGCTTAGAGTTCTATATCTGGATTCATAGGCATCAAGACAAGACAGTAAGTCACTAGGCCTGGCTTGAGCTTCTGAGACCCAAAGACCACCACTAGTGACATACTTCCTCCAATAAGGTCACACCTATTTCAACAAGGTCACTCCTCCTAATAGTGCCATTTCCTATGAGTCTATATGGGGCCATTTTCTTTCAAACCACCAGAGAGCTACCCATCAGCAAGGAAGATTTCTTGTGAGTCCACGCTGATTTCTCCATGTCTTCTGACTAACGTGTGTAGTGTCTGCAGCAATACAGTCTTACCATCAAGTTCTAGTGGTCAACCAAGAGCAATGGCAATGGTTTGTATTGTTTGGGGGCCTGTGGAATACTTCTGTCTAACAAGCTGAGGAGATATATCTCACACGAAACACTGGGCTTTTTATTTTCTAATATATGGTTTCTGGGATGGGCATAATCTCTACATATTAAGTTGTTCTGACAAAGTTTTGCTGATTCGCCTCTTGATTAGCCTATGTTATCTTTATTTTTCTTCCTACTTGGCGTTAGCTAGTCTAACTTTGTACTAATTGTTTTTTTTCCAGCTAAAAACATCATTTTATATTTATAATATTAAAAATAAGTCTTTGATATATAAAAACTGGCCAGAACTTTTTTTTTACTTAAGAATTTTTTACATAAGAATTGTCATCTTACATGTCCAGACTATCACCAGATCTTTGTCTCTGGTAGGAGTTAGGGTTAGGATCCTGAGTATGAACGATAGGAGGTGCTGGGGCCTGGGAAAGCACTCTGTGCAATAGAATACTTTCAGCTTTGATTTTGAAGCAGAAGTCTGCACAGCAGGCTACAGATCTCCATGTACCTTTCATGATGTGACCTGTGAGTCTCTTGATGTGTAACAAGACATTAAAGATTGGCCTCTCATGTCCTCACCCCAGCAGCCTGTCCTTGCAGGTAAAATCTCAGAAGGCAGAGATGTAGACAGGCCCCATCACTTTTGCAGGGGACAGAGAATCCTCCCTAGAGTTGCCGGCCTTGAGTCCTTCAGTCTGTGAGAGGATCTTTCCCCGTGCCCTTCAGTGGGGCTTTTGTGTTGGCACCTGAACCCCCAGAAGATTCAGGACACTTCTTGGAGGTCCTGGCACTGTTGGCCCTCTTCAAAGTGCCACTGCCCTTTGAGGCAGAATCATCGGGGCCACCTTTGACCCTAAGCTGCCGCTGGGAGACTGTCCTGGTGGTGCCAGAGGCTCTGGACACATGCACCAAGATAAGGAGGCCACCATATTTCAAGCAAAACTTGGGATAAGGGGAAGGGCTCGAGAGACATTTGGAGCCTGAGGTACTTTGGGCTTTTCCTTAGGCCTTTCGGGGTCTTGTGAGTTGGCTGACTTTGTTTTCTTTGGGTCTCTGTCTGGAGGTGTTTCTGACATCTGGGCTTCCTACATAAGGCCCCGGGCTGTACCAAGGCCTCCTTCCCTGACCACTCATGCTGCCACTCGAGCAGGGCAGCCTGGGCTCTTCTGCCCCAGGTCCACTCATGTGAGGCCTCCTGGGCGAAATGTCAGAGGTCCCCTGTACTGAGCTCCTTCGTGATAGCAGTGTCTATGCTGCTGGGTTTCTCCCGAGGGAGGCCCTGGATTTCGGCTCCGGATGCTTCCAGGGCCCTGCTTCCCTGTTGGACTTGAAGAAGGGTACCACCTTGCGCATGCGCTCATTCTCAGAGGCGTTCAAAGTTCTCACAGGTTTGGGTGCTGCCCCTTGGCTACACCAGGCACTGACTGGGGTTGAGGCCCCCGGTGATAGCTCTTTGAGGGACTTTCTCTTTAGTGCCGTGGTATCCTTTCCTTCGCTGGCTCTGTCCTTCGAAAGGCCACCCTGACAGCTGGACTCGGGAGCAGGTACCTCCCCAGGGGAACTAGAAGCAGGGTTGGAGAAGATCTGACTGCTGCCTGCCTCTCCAGTCCCAGAGAACACTGAGAGCCACCCCCTTTTCTCTCTTCCTCCAGTTCCTCTCCTTCTTGTCTGGAGATGGTTCCCTCTGAGTGTTAGGACTAATTGAGTCCTGGCCTTCCGCTGCTCTTCCCTGCTAGAGCCTTCTAATTGAAGTTACTAAAAGCTGTGCTTTGCCTAGAGGATCAGAGGATGGGATTTTCACCTGTTGGCCATTGACTGCAGGGTATTTAAGCCTCCATGGTGCTTTTAAAGAAGGGTTTTTGTACCAGCGATTGAAGGTCCGTGTGTTGGTCTGTCTCTGCGTGTGTTTCCTCAACCTCCAGCCCCTTGCCCGAAGCTGGCGAACTGGGTTCTAACTCATAGAGTGCAGACAGGGGAACGTGGTGAGCGGCTTCTGAGCAGTATGGAGTCAGTGAGAAGTCTGTGCTATCTGAGACATATAGCAGAGGCCCAGGGTCCCTACCTTCGGGTCAGTGACAACCAGAAACACAAGAGCTTCACTGCTGGCTT